TTCAACAATAAATTCTTTAAAAAAAAATTCCATGTTCAGGGAATCACTCTCTCCCCACCTCCCCTTAATTGAGGCCACTGAGTGTCAGTGTTTCTCCAAAGCCCCAAAGGTGATTTTGCTGTGTAGCCTAGAAGCCCTGAACAGCACAAGCATTGTGGACTGGTAGGCAGTGATCTGGACTTGGTTAAAACAGGTTCCTAGGCCCCTGTCCAAGTTTTTCTGATGTGGTAGGTCTGGGGAAGCACCCCATATAGCAGCGGTCTCCAACTGGTGGTCCGTGAGGTCCGAAAGGTTGGCGACCGCTGCCATATAGCATTTCCAGCAGGCTCTCAGGGGATGCGGATGCTGCTGGTGACTTGACCCCACTGTGGGTACCAGTGTTCTAAGTGATCACCTATTAATGCAGACCATTGGCAAATGCAGGATGAGAACGTCTACAAGAAGCCTAACAGGAACCTGAGATCCAAGAGTTCATGTGTTTTGTTTTGTTTTCCCTTAAACTTACAGACTATCAAAACTTCATGTAATGAAAGTGTAGATGAAAGTCGATGTGTTCTGAGACTAAGAAAGGGAACCTAAATTAACACGTGACCAGTAACAGAAGATGCCAGTGCATTGCGCTTTTGTATTTTCCTAACTCTAGGTTTACACTATATCTAGACTGGTTTAGGATGCTCTGAAGATTGTTAGTAATTTGCACTCTTAATTTAAAAAGGTAAACTCCTGGGTATTTTTGATGGCTTTCATTCCATTCCCCCAATGGATACAGAGTCCTAGAATTGCACGTGGCTTCATTAATGTCTCACATTCTCTCCCTGGTTTTTCTATTAAAAGACACCCCCCTTGTCCAGCCAGGGTGGCACAGTGGTTGAACCAGGAGGTCATGGCTCAATTCCTGGTCAGGGGCGCATGCTCAGGTTGTGGGCTTGATCCCCGGTAGGGGGCATGCAGGAGGCAGCCAATCAGTGATTCTCTTATCATTGATGTTTCTATCTCTCCCTCTTCCTTCCTTTCTGAAATCAGTAAAAATATATTTTAAAAAAAGATACCCCCTCAACTCGGTTTACAGAGGCCCAGAGGACAGTGCTGTGAGATGAGGGAAACTTAGTTTTGAGGCCACCTCCCCTTCCATTATTCTCTTTATATGTATACTTGGTCCACCCTTATGGCGGTACTTGGTATTCCCTCTCCTGATGCTTCTCAAAGATGTCCTCACCCCTCTCTCCCCAAGCCCAGATTTGTATTTCTAACGATGTAGCATACCTCCACATAATGTGTTTAGCAGCTACCTCAAATGCATCTAAAGTTACTTCTTCCTCAAGGGTGATCCGAAATCGGTCCCTTTCTGCTCTCCATCCTGTCCATGGTCTGGCCCCGTTTCCAGCAAGTCTGGAAGCAGTGGTCTGAGCTGTCACTGCACCCTCCAGCTCCTACACGCTCTCACATGCAGCCCCTCTCCGCCCTGGCCTCTCTTCTCTACCCTCCCTGCCACCATCTCTCACTGTCCTTGCTGCGGTCCATCCTTTGGGGATCACAGCAAATCAGACAGTGAAGCCTTGCATCTCTGACCATCTCCTCAGGGGCCTTTGCAGCCGGCCCCACCTCCCTCGCTACTGCAGTTCTTTTTTTTTAATATATTTTATTGATTTTTTACAGAGAGGAAGGGAGAGGGATAGAGTTAGAAACATCGATGAGAGAGAAACATCGATCAGCTGCCTCCTGCACACTCCCTGCTGGGTGTGTGCCCGCAACCAAGGTACATGCCCTTGACCGGATTCGAACCTGGGACCCTTGCATCTGCAGGCTGACGCTCTATCCACTGAGCAAAACTGGTTAGGGCGCTACTGCAGTTCTTGAAGCTTCTCCCCCAGACACCAATTTCAGCCGTCCAGAGGGCTTAGAATTCCTCCTGGAAGAGAGTTTTTGAGTGACAGGAGCTGTTTGGAAATTGCTTTTATAAGCAGAAAAAATTAAAAGGAGCATTGCTTAGTTTAAAGACATTTTCTCCATTGGTCTTCCTCTTTCACTTGGTCAGCTGGGACCCATCCCCTGGTGCCTGACCCATGGGTACCCGTCCCAAAACCTCACTCCCCGCTCCCCACCACCATCCTGACACCTGCTCAAGGGAAGCACTGCAGATCCACACCCTGCTTCTGGCCTGGCTTCTGGTTAATGACCCCTTGGCCATGCAAGGTCCTGGTCCTCAGCCACCTTTTTACATGTCCTCCATATTCCCCACTGGTAACTTCTTTATCCCTCGCGGTTGGTGCTTGGCACCCCACCTTCCAGCATTCTCTGTGTTCCCCTGGTTCTTCGCAGAGGAGTCTGCTACAACCACCCAGGTGGTTAAAGGACCCCATTCCTTTGTGCTGCTGGGGAGGGGGGGATGATGATGATCAGCTCATTCAGATATAGATGCATGTGTGGTGTCCTGGGCCTGAACTTGATTTTGAGGCCCTCTAAGGGCTGAGGGTGAAAATTAACTAGTTGCATTTATTTTTACATCTAAGCACATTGCCTATCATCTGAACATAATTCATCTTCTAATTTAGTATATTTCAAATATGTGTTTAACCATGACTCATAGTAAGAAATACCTTCACATAGTCACATACACATCTGCGTATATATAATACAAATACACAGTATAATTGAAAAAATGCTTCCTCAAATAATTAACTCAATGCATGTGATACTCTCACTTTTTTATTGCATAAGAAATGCTGCTCAGATCCACTAAACTGGGGGTCAGAAAGCTTTTTCTGTGAGGAGTCACATAAAGTCTCTGTTGCATATTCTCCTGTGATTAAAAGAAACGCGCTCTTTAAAAGCGTAAAAACCCTGTTTCGAGTCCAGGCTTTACAAAACGTGCTGCAGGCTGGATCTGGTTTGCAGGCTGCAGGGAGTGTGCTGACCCTGAACTTAGCGAATTTAATCACCACCTGCCTGCATTTGGAAATAACCAGCTCTGGTTTTCTTGTTCCTTTTTTTAATTGGATTTATTAGGTGACATTAGTTTGCAAAACCATACAGGTTTCAAGTGTACAACTCAACAAAGCATCACCTGCACAAGGCATTGTGTGCCCATCGCCCTAAGCAAAGTCTTTTTCTGTGCCCATTACCTCCCCACGTGCCCCACATCCATCCCCTCTCCCCCTTTCCCTCAGGCTATCACCACACTTTTCTGTGTCCATATGTGTTATGTATATGGCTCTGTTTGAATTCTGAAGGTTAATGGGGAGAACCTAGTTGGCCCCTCCCCACCCTCCCTCCCAGTGGTCACTAGACCTGGCTGAATCACGTGCTGGGTAAGCTTCTTAAAAATCAGATTCACAGAACTGGCTACTGAATGACTTTCTGGGCCCAAGAACCTGTTTTGAAAACCTTAGTATTTGGTGACTCTCTCTAAATCTTTCCTGAATGATTGGTGACTTCCCTGTCCCTAAGTGGCTCTAAAAAGGAAGCAACAGGGTTACGTATGTAATTTTGGGGGGGAGGGGAGAATTGGTCTTTCCTTTGAATTGGGTTGACATCTTTTTTTCCCCTTTTGATACAATTCCTAAACTTAAAATTATGCTTTTCTTTGTAGCTTTGCCAATTTGAGAATTTACCCACATGGATTGGTGTTGCTGGACCTTCAGAGTTACGACGGCGATGCAGAAGGCAAAGAAGTTGACAGTGTCGGTTTTTCACTGTTATTTATTCAAGTATTTGAGGGTCCCAAAGCCCGTTCCGTTTAATAATGTTAAAATGATTTCACTTAATTGCTGACAGTAGACGTTCCTTCCCCCACAGTGAGTGGTTTTAGAAGAGAAATAGTTGATCCTCAGTTGTTGGTAGGAACCTGGCTGCCACTTTTTCATTGAGCTTGAGGACTGATTTTCCTGTGCACCGCAGCGAATGGAATGTAAAGCTTTAGTCAAGATGTTATATCTGCATTACCCTTGAACATCCCCCTTTCCCATTGTTTTCTTGGTCACTTAGACGGAGGTTAGGTCAGCAGCACGGGGACTGGTTGGTGTGGGATGCAGAACCTGTGGAGGCTGCTGTAGGGAGGGGAGGACAGGTGTATTTGGGTACCTGCCAGTTCACATAGCTCTGTCAACACAGCCTCAAGTTCCTGGTCTGTCATTTAGCCGCAGTTCCATTCAGCCTATTCTAGAAGCCCATTGATTTGATTTCTTTTAATCGCAGCTTTTGAACAAAGTAGAAGAAAGAATGAAAGAATTGAGTCAGGACACTACTGGGCGGGTGAAGCGGTAAGTCCACTCCCGAATGTCCTTTTGTGTTGGGTTAAGTGATACAATAGTTGGGAAGGTGGTGGTGTCCCTGAGTTGTGTCTGCTAAAGATATGGCACAGATCAAAGTCAGTTTGTGCTTCTGGCCACATGGTAGACGGAGCTAGTGGCCCCTCACACCAAAACAAGACATGAGAGGACACACACGCGGACTGCGAGAGAGACATGCTGGATAAAATGAGACAAAGGCACAAAGGTGATGTGGAGTGAGTCCCAGAAGCTTGAAACTCTGGAGAGCAGAGAACCCGGTGAGGCTGCTGCCTCAGTCAAAGGGGAGCGAGGAAACTTCCCCCCTTCTGTCCAGTGAAGGGAAAAGGGCGCCTGTCTCTGTTCTGAGTTCTGGGCTCCAGAGTAGAATGAAGCAGTTAAGAGATTTATGACAGGGTAGGGTGACAGAAAATTTGCAAGTGAGAAGTCTTTGCAAGATACTAAGAATCAAGAGGCCACCCACCTGAGCAGCCACAGGTAGGTTCTCTTCAAATGGTAATGAAGACAATTCAGCTTTCCCTGTCCAGGAGTGTAGCCACTATACCCCACGTGGCTCTTTAAAATCCTGTATAATAAAAGTGTAATATGCAAATTGCACATTGATCACCGGGGGGCAGAAGCTCAACGCAGGAGCTGCCCTCTGGTGGTTAGTGCGCTCCCACAGGGGTAGCTCGGCTCGGCCACAAGCCAGGCTCACGGCTGCGAGTGCAGTGGTGGTGGTGGGAGCCTCTCCCGCCTCCGCAGCAGTGCTAGGGATGTCTGACTAACTGCTTAGGCCCGCTCCCTGCAGGACATCCTCTGAGGGCTCCTGGACTGCGAGAGGGCACAGGCCAGGCAGAGGGATCCCTTCCCCTCCCCCCCAGTGCACAAATTTTTGCACACCGGGCCTCTAGTTAAGGTAATAAAAAGAAACAGTTCAGTTCTTCAGTCTCACTCCCCTCATGTCAATAGCCAATGGTTGATGACTGCCAGGTTGGACAGCGCAGAGGTATTTGCCAGTGGTGTCAGATGTTAAGAGCTTTGCTAGAAGCTATAACGTCAACATTTATTAGAAGGGATAGAGTCTGGTAGGTCCTGGGAATTAATGGATTTACAGCAAGTCATTCTTAGGAGTTTGCTCTTGCCTGCCTGGGTGGTTCCTTATCAGGCCCCCAAAAGTTAGGAGGCTTGTCCCTTGCTCATAAAGGCCAACACATAGATGCAGAGACATAGAGGGACTTCACCAAGGTCACACCATCACTGATGGAAGCACCTGGAATACAGATTTCTGTAGTTCATGGCCCTTTTCAGGAGAGGGAATCCTTATTGGCAAGAGCTAGGATGTTTAAGTACTCAGTGGCTCAGCATGCTAAGTGTGATCAGTCCATAGGAAGGCTCCAGGGCCATGTACCAGAACTAAAAAGGCGTTTAGTCTCTGGTGGGGCAGAGAGCAGGAAACTGCAAGTGAAAAGAACGTGGCACAGTGCAGAATTTGCCCGCTTTTTTTATTTCTGTCAGAACGCCAAGTTCAGTTTATGTGTTCTCAGCCCCTTCCCCATCCTTAAAAAACACATCCACACCCGCGCTCCTTTCTGGATTTGTTATCTTTTCCCATTTCTAAGAGTTTTCCTTATCTACAGCCATTTGAATTGAACACGTTCCCACTGTGTTGTAAAATGTCTAAACTTGGAGATGATGGATTGGCCGACTTCAAAATGCCTCTGAGTTTTATTGGTCTGATTTTTATCGGAGTTAATTCTGGGAAGAAGGAAACAGATGGAAGGCATTTATGGGCCTCAGCATTTATGAGAAGTCTGGTTCGTTTGTGTCTTTCTGGTCCAGGAGTTTCTAAAGGGATAGTGAAGTTAGGCTTTAGATGTTCACTTCGAAATGCAGAATTTGTTTTTGCTTGTCACTGTTTTTACGTCTCTTCATAAAATCAGGGTGGAGGTCACTGTTTTTATGTCTCTTCATAAAATCAGGGTGGAGGAGGTGAGAGGTGATTGGAAGTACTTTGTGGTAGGCCCTTTGTTATTGACTTCAAAAGGAAAAGGATGGTGCTACTTTTCTCTCCCGGGAATGACATCGTTAGAGAGTCAGTCATTAACAAATAACTCAGGAACATCTGAAATTATTACTCCCCTACGGGCAATAAAGTAAATGTAATTTTTCATCTATGAAGCCATGTTTTTTTTTAATATATATTTTATTGATTTTTTTTTTTTTTTTTTACAGAGAGGAAGGGAGAGGGATAGAGAGTTAGAAACATCGATGAGAGAGAAACATTGATCAGCTGCCTCCTGCACACCCCCTACTGGGGGTGTTCCAGCAACCAAGGTACATGCCCTTGACCGGAATCAAACCCAGGACCCTTCAGTCTGCAGGCTGACGCTCTATCCACTGAGCAAAACCGGTTAGGGGTGGGTTTTTTGTTGTTGTTGTTGTTTTTTGTTTTTGTTTTTTTAGAAAATGTATTTTTGTATTCTACTTTTCAAAAGAAGAAGAACAGGAAATCAAGCTCACATCAGTTTTGTTGCAAATAATTCTTGCAATTTACACACCCGTACCTGAGGCCCAGGGCGTATTCTGCCTTTCTTTTCTTTTTTTAAAAAAAATATTTTTATTGATTTGAGAGAGGAAGGGAGGGAGGAGGGGGGGGGGCGGGAACAAATATCGATTAGTTTTCTCCGGCACACATCCCGACAGGGATCGAACCCACAATCTGGGCATGTGCCCTTACCAGGTACCAAACCAGTGACTTTTTTGGGCCCTGGATGATGCTCAGTGAACTGAGCCACACTGGCCAGGGTCTGCCTGACTTTTCTACCATCCAATTTTGATTTTCAGCAGTGATGGTTGGAACAAGAGTTTTGTAGGCTTCCAGAGTATCCCCTGTAGGCCATCACGGGGAGATAAAGGCAGGTCCCGGTAGGATGAGTACTTCATCGCGGTAATGCCTTCCCCATCCTGCTGCAGATCCTTGTTGTTTCTTTGCCAATCTTTACAAACCACTGTGTTGCAGTTAAGGAAAGAGCTCAACCTTAGCCAAGGTACTGTTGACATCACTGAGATTGGGCATTGTTTATTTTCAGTGGGTTTGCGCATAGTTCAGTAAAAGCCGATAGCTGGCTGGCTGGCTGGCTGGCTGGCTGTCAACCAGGAGGTAGGTTTGGTAGGTTTCTGCCCCTGAAAGCTGGGGCTACTCCCCACCATCAGCCAGGGGTGGAGGAAGAGGCTTCCCCCAAGTCCTATTTGCCTGCTCTTGGGATGGGGGAAGGTGTCCTGATTGGGGCTCCACATTTTACAAGAAAAATGTCTGGTCCTGCCTAACATTCCAACAGCTGAATTTGTTTATCTGAAAGATGAAGTGGTAAATCAGGAGCAGTTAGCGTTAAATGAGAGTATATGGGAACTTGATTTTGTAAATCTCAGGGTCCTTGACTATTTCCCCACGAGAAGCCTCTTTAACTTACAACAGGTCCAGACTGGACTCTGGGAAGCAGGTGAGCGGGGAGGGAGGGAAAAGAAACTCATCGGAGCAAGTCAGAGGCCGCATCTCCCGGCGTTTGAGGTGTCTGCAGCTGTTTTGCTATCACACACCACTGTCCGAGAACACATGACTTGGAGACGGGTTGTGCCATGTGTGCAATGAGTTGTCGTTGTGTTTGTATTCCAGTTAGATTTGCCAAGCCCCTTTTCCAGGTCTGTGTTTCCCTGTCTCTTAGTGTCCTCTGCTGGTGGTTTCTAGTACACTCACCCTATCTGAAGGACTGAATACTTCTGCAATAATGGAATCAGAAAATCATCAGTTTGCAGCCACTCTAGTAATAATAGGTTCAGGCAAGGACCTTGTAGATGCCAAAGCCACCGGTGAAGGCTTCTTGGGAGATCAGGACCTTACCCAGCTTGGGAGGATCACCCCACAGCTTGCTTAGTGATTTTAAAGGGACAGAAAGGTACCTTTGCACATAGACAGATCTGGTGCCATCTACTTCAACTGATTGGTCACACTTAGCATCACCTATAATTGGACAAGCACACAACTCCTGCCCCTATTGTGGTGCCTCTAAGACAGTGGTTCTCAACCTTCTGGCCCTTTAAGTACAGTTCCTCATGTTGTGACCCAACCATAAAATTATTTTCGTTGCTACTTCATAACTGTAATGTTGCTACTGTTACGAATCGTAATGTAAATATCTGATATGCAGGTTGGTCTTAGGCGACTCCTGTGAAAGGGTCGTTCGACCGCCAAAGGGGTCGCGACCCACAGGTTGAGAACCGCTGCTCTAGGATATATGTCAACCTGACTCTAATGAAGATGATCAGGCAAACCCACCTGAGGAGTTTTCTGCACAGTACTTGGTTTGGACTTTTCCAAGATGTCAATGTCATGAAACATACAAAGGGGGGGGGGGACTAGTCTAGATTAAATGAGGCTAAGAAAGGAAAAAAAAAGAAAACCCAGCAAAATACATTGTATGATCCTTTGTTCAAAAGCAGAACAACTATAAAGACATTATTTGTACAATTGGAAACACTCGAGGGTGGATTCTGAACTACATGGTGGTATTACATATTAGGGGTAAAGTGTGATGTCTGCAGTGGCCATTTTCTCCTTCAACTTTTTATTAGGAAAATTTAAATCATGCCAGGAGGGTTTTTAAAGAGTAAAGTCCTATGTCCAGCAGTTGTGGAGATTTGGTGGTGGCCATGTTGGTTAAACCTAAAAGGCCAAGCATTAGATTTGTGGGTGCTATTCAGGAGTCAGCCTGGGGCCACGTGGCTTGCTTCTGCACACTCTTGCTCCCAGGTCCAATTTTAAGGCAGGCTCACCATAAGCGGCCTTCTTACAAGGCTCTTTCCTGTCTCCCTTTTTTTCCAGATTACCACCCATAGTTCGAGGAGGGACCATTGACAGGTACTGGCCCACTGCTGACGGCCGTCTGGTTGAGTACGACATAGATGAAGTGGTGTATGATGAAGATTCACCTTATCAGAACATTAAAATTCTGCACTCGAAGCAGTTTGGAAATATTCTCATCCTCAGTGGGGATGTTAGTAAGTATTCCAGCCCTACCCCAATTGTATAACAAAGTGACTGTGTTGGCCCTAGCCAGTTTGGCTCAGTGGATAGAGCGTAGGCCTGCGGACTGAAAGGCCTCAGGCTCGATTCTGGTCAGAGGCACATGCCTAGGTAGTGGGCTCGATCCCCAGTAGGGGGCATACAAGGATCAATGATTCCCTCTCATCATTGATGTTTCTGTCTCTCCCTTTCTGAAACCAATAAAAATATATTAAAAAAAATTTTTTAAAAAGTGACTGTTGGATTATGTTGTTTTCCTGACAAATATCACTGTTGTGGATTTGCCCAAGTTTGTCCTTGGCACTGGTGTTTTTGAAATGAACATTTCTGTTGTGTTCACTTGTAGATTGTCTGGGCCTTCGTGTTTTACAGCAGAGCCAGGAAAACTTTGTCTCGACTTTCCTTTTTCTTAATTTCTTAGTATTGAGTATTTGGATTGTATTTGCAAAAGTATATAATTGCTTATTTACGAAAATATTTTTGTTATGGAAAACCTCACATCTAAGTAGAAAAAGTAGTATGATGAGCCCACATAATACACTCACCACTGAGTGTCAGTGGTTATTGACTCCTGGCTAGTCTTGTTTCCCCTAAACCCCAGTCCACTTTCTTTCTCATTTTTTTAAATTGATTTTAGAGAGGAAGGGAGAAACATTGATGATGAGAAAGAATCATTGATCAGCTGCCTCCTGCATACCCCACACTGGGGATCTAGCCTGCAACCTGGGCATGTGCCCTGACTGGGAATCGAACTGTGACCTCCTTGATTCATAGGTCAGTGCTCAACCACTGAGTTATGCTGGCTGGGCTCTTTCTCATATTTTGAAGCAACTCTTAGATGTTGTGTTATTTCATCTGGAAAGACATAATTGCTTTTAATAATTCATATCAGTACATCCTTAAGACCAAGTTTTTTTCTGAATGACTAATGCAGACATGTATGTCATCTATGTGTGTAATGTATTGTATTGGGATTGATGAAAAATCCACAATCCAAAAAACTACTTTTGTGCGTTGTCGACTGTGTTTAAAAACTGAAAATGAAAAATCTTGGGCTAGAATCCAGCCCTTCCAAGAGGGGTGTGAGTCAGGAGGTGTGTGGGTTTGGGTAGAGTCACCAATTTGGGTCTGTTTCCTTCCTAGATCTGGCGGAGAGTGATTTGGCGTATACCCGGGCCATCATGGGCAGTGGCAAAGAAGATTACACTGGCAAAGACGTGCTGATTCTGGGAGGTGGAGATGGGGGCATTTTATGTGAAATAGTCAAACTGAAACCAAAGATGGTCACTATGGTAGAGATATCCTTTTTATATGGAATCAGGTTTAATGGCTGCTTTTGTTTTCTTCCTCCCTTTTTGTCTTGTGACTCCAGTTAATGTTATGGGGGAAATGTGTGATAAAGAGTGCCTTGAATAAACATTTCAATTTAGTACCAATAGCCTTTTTATGCGGCCAGCAACAAAGAAGCAGAGATAATCTAATTGCAAATGAAAGAGCAAGCAACTTTGGTACCATGTCTACTCAGCAGTTGCCAAAATAGGTTCTTTATGAGAAGAAAAAAATTCATTTCTTTTTGAATGTCCTGGGTGCAGAAATATAATCATTGTCTTACTCATCTTTTTTAACTTGTGATACCTAAATGAATGTTATAAAACTTCTGTTTGTCTTAACCTTTTTAAAAAAGTATTACTATTTCAGAATTCTTTGATATTTTTAAATTCTGGCTAAATTTCTCCTTAACCTGTTCTGAACATTGACCAAATGGTGATTGATGGATGTAAGAAATACATGCGAAAAACATGTGGTGATGTCTTAGACAATCTTAAAGGAGACTGCTATCAGGTACTTGTGTTTTCCAGATAATGTTTTTAAGTGAACTGATAATATAATGTGAATTGTGCCTGCCTAAAACAACTTTAAGTATAACTGGTTAAGAAGATAAATAGATCATCTTGTATGGGAGGAGAATTTTCTGTCTACCCTTCTAGTTCTTGGTTGAGACTCCTATAATCACAGAAAGATTAACAAGAGAAAAACAGATGTTTGTTGACATGTATACCTCATGTATATGTGGAAGATTCCAAGAGAAAAGTGAGTAACACAGAGGTAGCTTTAGAATTTAGGCTTAAATATCATCTTCTCTATATATAAAAGCCTAATATGCAAAGTGTCCACTCTGGAGTTTGACCCACCAGGAGTTCGATCGCTCGCTATGACGTGCACTAACCACCAGGGGGCAGCGTGGAACGAAGGAAGGCACCAGCCGGCAGCCGCTAGGGATCCTACCTGTGCACAAATTTCGTGCACTGGGCCTGTAGTTTTAAATAGGGAAAGGGGATGTAGGTGCTTTAAGGGAGAGTAAATGACTTTTCAGAAAGATGGATGGGCCCTTAGAAGAATAGATAGAAGGCAAAGTAGTTTGTGACAAAGTTTGTCAGAGTCCACGCAGTGTCAGTCTTCTCTCCTGTGATAAGAGGCGATGTTCCTGGTTGAATCCTCTGGGGAGGGGAATGGATGACAGTTGAGTTTCTTTTGGAGGATCTGTCTTTAGGCAGATAAGGGGAGTTCAGAGAAAGCCTCTCTAGTCAGTAGGCCAATGCAGCATATTTTGAGGTGGCATGTTCTGGTCCCCTTCATTCTCTTCGTGAGTTATATGTAGATTTATATTTAGGGCAGAAGTGTACTTACAATAAGAAAGAACTCTGTAATTTCTGAATTTAATAACACTCATTCATTCTTTATTTTTTTCTTTTTTTTAATCCTCACCTGAGGATATTTTTCCATTGATTTTTAGAGAGAGTGGGAGAGAGAGGGAAAAGACAGAAATATTGATGTAAGAGATTTGAGAGAAGCACATTGATTGGTTGCCTCCTGCATGAGCCCCAACCAGGCCCAGGCTAGGGGGAAGCCGGCAACCAAGTTACGTGCCCTTGACTGGAATTGAACCCAGAACCCTTTGGTACTCAGGCCTACGCTCTGTCCACTGAGCCAAACCTGCTAGGGTTTCATTCTTATATAAAAGATGTCATGTACCATTTTATGACCTGACAACCACCACCTTTTGTCTCTCTACCCTGGATAATCTCTCTGCGTCTGGGTCTTTCAGAGGGACTTTGCTAAGCAAACTGGTTCCTGTCCTAAATTCTACTGTACTTGCAAGTTCACCAATCATTACAGTTTGTAGGATACATTTTATATTTTATTTTAGGATGCATGTTTGATGTTCATACCTGCAGTACTTTTTAGAACAATATAATCAAGCAAATACTTACTTTATTTGAACAAAAATCTTGTGTATCTCCAAATGTATAGACACTTTAGATGAGAGCTTTAGTTTGTTGATATGTAAATTACCCCATCCCATTGTCCCTAAAGTGTGTGCATCCAAATTTGATTTCACGGTACACACATGTTAATTTTTTAAGCTGAGAGAGGAATTATTTCCACATTACAATGCAGTTGTGACTGTTTTGTGGGCAAGAGGAAAAAATATACATTTCACTTATACTATGTGAAAGTTTAAAACTGGGTGGGGGGGTGGGGGGTGGGATTAGGTTCTTCAGAGCATGACAGATTTTTTTCACAATGAACTGAAAGTTATCATTGTTAACAAATAATGTTTGCATTGTTAGCCAGGCCCTCTGCCCTGGGTGTTTTAACATTGCATGCTCACCGTGTACCAAGCAGATATTATTTCTATTTTATGGATGAAGAAGATTAAACTTAGAGTTTGAAGGACATTTATTCAAGGTTATAGGGTAATTTTAGAGGAGTGATTCAGATTCCTAGTTCCTTATATGGTTTCCTTATATGGATTAAGGAAAATACTAAACAGAACCCCAACCCAAACCTGCAGGACTGTGGAGTTGTGCATGTGGAATTGTGCACTGTTATAATTAACTAGAGGCCTGGTGCATGAATTCATGAATGGGTAGGGTCCCTCAGCCTGGCCAGTGATTGAGGCCTATGGTGGGACAACGGGCTGGGGGGAAGGGCCGTGGGAGATTGACTGTGGGAGTGCACTGACCACCAGGGGGCAGCTCCTGCATTGAGCTTCTTTTCCCTGTTGGTCAGTGCACATCATAGCAACTGGTCAACCGGTTGTTCCGGTCGTTCGGTCATAATGGTCGCTTAGGCTATTATATATATAGAAGGGCATATATAAATGGGAAGATTTACTAATGGCCCGGGAAATAAACCTTTCCACTTGAAAGTCCATCTGAGGGCAGAACACTGAAGGCAGAAGGTGACACAGACAGTTGGACATTTTAGAGAAAGGGAAAGTAGTATTTTATTTGAAATTGCTGGGCTCTTGAGGAAGTTGTTTGCCTGAACACATCCTTTTCCCCCTGCCTTCTTTCTGGAACAGAACAGCCAGGGGAAGCCTGTACAATTCTTCTGAGGCACACAGTTTTCCCAGCTCTAAAGGGGTGGAGGTTGCTGGTCTCCCTGGCAGCGGCAGACAAGCCCCTTAGGCATTAAAATTCTACTACCATCAACAAATCACCAGGACCTTGCAACTGTTTATCATTTGAAAAACAGAAAATTACTCTGTTATCCTTTTATTAGAAAATAGTAAGTGTTCCAAAGCACTCTACTGAAAATCATTAAAAAAGTACAAAAAGAATACTAAAAGCCGATTTCTGTATGTGCAAGATTTCCAAGTATAAAATAGTAGTAAGTTAAATCTGACACTTTATTTAAAGACTTATATATATTATGTGCAAGAAAGTTTAGTTCATAAATGTAAAAATATAAAAAAGAAGTCAACATAATTTATTATATGAATAATTTAAAGGAGAAAATAATTGACATTAATAGATGATAAAGCATTTGGGAATATATAGTCATTCTTTTTTTCAAAGATCAAAATATTTGTCTTATGACATCCAGTTGGCTTAGAAGTACTTATAAAATATTTTAAAATTTTCTTTTATTTTTTTCCATTACCAATTTTCCCCTCTATGCCCTCTTCCACCTCCATCCCCACCCCCATAATCACCATACTATTGTCCATATCCATGAGAGTTTTCTCTCTCGCTCTCTTTTTTTTGTTGTTAATCATCACCCAAGGGTATTTTTCCCATTGTTTTTGTGTGTGTGTGTGTGTGTGTGTTTTAGATAGTGAGTGGGAGAGAGAGAGAGAGGCAGAGGGAAGCATCTACATCTATGTGATGTGAGAGAGACAAATTGGTTGCCTCCTGCACTCACCCTGATCAGGGCAGGGATCAAACTGGCAACCGGGTATGTGCCCCTGACCTAGAATCAAACCCTTCCATGTGCAGGCTGGTGCTCTAACCACTTAGCACACCAGCCAGGGCCTCTCTTTTATTCTTTTTTGCTCAGCCACTCTAACTCCCTCCAACCCCCCTTCCCCCACCAGAGCTGCTGCCTGCTCTCTATCTCTGTGTCTGTCTCTATTTTGCTTGGTAGTTCAGTTAAATTCCACATATGAGTGAAATCATATAGTACCTGTCTTTCTTTGACTGGCTTATTTCACTTAGCATAATGCTCTCCAGGTCCATCGATGCTCTCACAAAGGGTAATGAAATTTCTTTAGGTAAAATAAAATTGCAAAAGAAGGGCAACTACCAAAACATAACAGAAACCATCAGAAACCTAAAGATAATATTGTATTAAACTAGGGGCCCAGTGCATGACTTTGTGCACCTTGAAAGGAACTGTGGGCCGCGAGGCTGCGGTGGGCACAAGGGTGGGTCTCGGCCCATCCTCTGTGCCCCCACCCGGCCCCTCCTGCTGCGGCCCCCGGTCCCCTCTCTGCCGGCAGCCCTGCTCCCGCTGCCGCTGCTCCCATGTGCTGACAGCCTGCCATGTTTCGCGCATGCACACATCATAGCATCCGGTTAGTTGGTTGTTCTGCCGTTCGATCTATTTGCATATTAGCCTTTTATTATATAGGACTAGAGGCCTGATGCACGAAATTCGTGCATGGGGGGGAAGGAGGGGATCCCTCAACCCGACCTGCACCCTCTCCAATCCAGGAGCCCTCAGAGGATGTCCTACTGACGGCTTAGGCCCGCTCCCCGTGGTTCTCTGCTCTCTGCGGGGCCTGCCTGCTCCACACCATGGTGACAGGCAAGCAGACCCTGCTGGGTGCTGCCTGCGGGCCCGGTGACAGCAGGCAGTGCCCAGGCCTGCTGGGCGCTGCCTGCGGGCCACGCTTGCCTGCTTGCAGATTGCTGGGGCAACCCACTGGCAGGCCCTGCTGGGCGCTTGCCTGCTCCAGGTCGCCACAGCAATGCCTGCTGGGCTCACGTTGCCGGGGTGACGCCACCAGCGTCCTGCCCCGGCTGCTATGGGCACCTCCATCTTTGTTGTGAAGTGGCGGTTAATTTGCATA